ATTTTCCAGCATTTTTTATTTTACCATTGAAACAGTTATTGATAACCTATTTTATTCATTGTGCAGCAGATATTTTAGAAATGAATTGCTGTATGGTTTAATTAGTTCATTATTATGCCTATTCTTACACAGTAATTTCTTTTATCATTCTAATCATTCACTTCACACTTTTTAAACCAAATGGAATATCAAAGGTTCTGTAGGATTATTTCTGGATCCTGCACATGTTTCACCACACAATTAATCTGTTTGTCAGAAATACTAGTTAACTTCTTGTCTTCACCACTTTCCTTTACTAGTAGTTTTTCACTATTATATAAGATGAAACTACCCCTACCCTGTGAAAAGACAGACTTGTGATGCCTTTGACTCTGTTTATTAAAGATTTTTCAATTGTGCCCTAGGCATTACAATAAAATATTTTAATTTTTATAAAGTTTTGTAATTACATATTTTCCTTTATTTATATCTCATCTACAATATTTATTTAGCCTCTTTACATGTCTTTACTTAGTTAAAACACAGAGAGATAAATACAGTTGTTACTTTGCAGGGAAGATTCAGTACATTAATATAAACTGTACACTAATTCCCCCAAAGCATATATATATGTTGTAAACCTGAAGACTTTTTACACAGCTGCTTATTGCTAAACAGTGCCTTGTCCAGAAGGGGACAATCTGTGTCTCTAATTGCTGTCACTGAAGCTGAGATTCATTATGTGACTTTCCCATTAAAATGTGAGCATTAATTTGTATAATGAAATATCACCCACTGCAGTGTTCATTAGCCATGCCCTACTGTATACTGCACATTGTTAGCTACCTAGAAACTGTAGTTAATTTCACTAATGGATATTTCCCTACTTAGTGTTTGGTAGGAAATTTATACTGTAACATTACCTCTTAAACTTTTAAGGAAATTTAAACTCAATCAATTATTTTCAACAAAAGTTTGGGATGTCATTAAGACAGGAGAAAAGGCATGCTGTATAATGTTAAGGATGGGAAATCTGGAGGAATCTAGAGAAATGAAAAGTCCTTTTAGTTCATCTTAGAAATATAAGAATAAAGGATGTTCAATACCAAAATTGTCTCCTCTTGGAGCACACATACCCATTTTCCTTAATTATTCATATTGCTCATCCCACTACAAGTGCCTTCAGACAATGGCAACAGGCAGTTTTTTTAGGAAGAAAATGTGAGCTGAATTCATTAAAAGCACCATTTTTACTGTATTCCATTGATTCATCTAAGCAAGTTTTAAAATTGGTCACATTTCACTGTAAATGTATATAATAAATTTAATATGTTTAAGATATATCATGCATCTCGTAACATGCTCTCAGTCAATAGACACAGCCCTGCCAAGTGTTTTCTTCCTATCCCTCTTTCTTAGGTTTCTTTTGTTTGGCACAACCCAAACCTTCTTCAGGGCTCTACTATGCTCATGCACATTGTTATTTTTTCCTTAATAAAGGCATTTAACTGTGCCAGTCAGGCTGGGAATACACCTGAGCACCTAATGACCACACCAACCCAAACTAGTCTATGTCTGCAGTAGCTTTTGAATGCTAATGCAAAGTGTAAAGCGGTGCTAGAGCAACTCTGAAACTGTGTCCTACATAACGCGTTCCTTGTCAAAGGTAGAATGGAAGACATTTTTTTATTACACTGCTTCTGTGCAGTCCAATGACCTCGGCATGTAAGCTAAAAACTGAACCACTGATTTTATTTCAGAGAGAATTGAGAGTGCTCAAGAACACAAAGATGTTGCTAAGTTCCCTGAATGAAGTAACCTTAAATTGCTGCTGCTAGAAGGGAAATAATAGAAACTCTGCAAGCATCTGCTTATGGCACATTATGGGGCTGAGATGTCTAGATGGCTTTCTTTTTCACAAAGTCTAAGTATCTCTTAATCTTCAGTGTTATAAACTTTTCAGCTTTATTATACATTATTTTATAAGCAGGAAGCTGAATCACAAAAGGGCCAGTCCACCCACATGTCTACTATGTGCTAGGGGTGCATACACATTATTTAGCCTTATTTCTGCATCTCTTCACACAGTGAGGTTGTGTGAGTTGAGGTAGGTAGCCCTGAAGAAATAGGACCATAGTCTGTCATTATCCACTGGTCAACTAAAAAAAGTCATCCAGGATGGGCTGCAAGAGTTCTGTCTGTCTTTTCTAAGACCCAAGGGTCTGAAGCATTTTTCCCAGATGATCGTTCCTCTCTTCTCGCCAGAGCTGTACTAAGGAACTGTCTCATCCTTCAACTGCTTTTAGAGCAAGAAAGGAGAAACTAATTTCACATAATTATGCCCTTTTCTTGTTATCATATAGGAACACTCAGAAATTGTATCTTACTATCTTCCCCTTAAAGCTCTTCCTGGCTGAATATCGTTGGAATAGATAAGAAGAAAAATCTACAATTGTGTGTTGGAACTCGACTCAACATGCTAAATAAAACCTTGATTTTATTTACTTTTTCTTCAAAAGCTTATTATGTGATAGCAAACTACACAGAAATGGAGACTCAGTGTGGAGAAGGTTGCAACCATTAAATAGCTGACAAATAAAAAGCCACCCAGGACACTAGCTAATTCTTCTAAAATAGAGCACAGTTTCCTTGTCTTATGGACAGCTTCTCTAGCCTTTTTGGGCCAAGTGCCACAGAAGCACCTCCTGGCTGGATCAGACGTTGGGTCTTGCCTTGGCATGCGTACCGAACCAACCTACTCATGTGGCTCCAAACACACAGATGTTCAAAGGAACCTGACTTCTGCTGAACTGCTTGAGCTCATCTCTAACAAACAGGTGCTGTGAGAACAAGAACGGTAATTGAGTTAATGTAGTGGAGAAACACAGTAAAGTGTTTTTTATCAGTCAGTTATATGATCCAGGCATACAATAAAGGCAGTGTGACATAAAAGGCAGAAAACTGTCCCTGGTAAGTATGAAGTAACCAGTATTTGTTTAATAACTGGTACCTATTACATCATTTCCATTTACTGAAAAGCAACTTAATTTCTATTTAATAACTCTAGTAATTTGCCAATTTACATTTTTATAATATTTATTAGGATTATTTCCAATATGCAAAATATTGCTCCATTTAAACATACTCTTCTCGTTATTTACTAATATTTTGTTCTCAACCTAATGGAAATTGATCTTTATCTATTTTTAAATGAGAATGGTTTTTAAATATATTGTGAATGTTGTTTCAACAGTCTGTATGATGTTTTCTTTTTTGTTGTTATTTTATACATGGTTTATTTTTCCTTGTTTTAATTTTGTTTAGTCAGTTTTAATATACAAGTTTTATGGACTATTTCCATTGCAATTAATTTACTTTCTACTAGTTCTAAGCCACAAATACCAGATGCATAATTGCTGCCATCTTTAAAACAAGAACAAAATGACCACTATATAATAAAGCAAAGGGGAGAGGTAGATATCCTCAGGTCATTTTAAAGAATTTTCCTTTGCTTCTCCAACAGTAAAAATGTCAAACTGTTTAAAACTAATATTTACAAGATTTTCCAATAAAACAACTATCATTTATTTATTTTTATTACATTAGGAAGCACACAAATAGAGCACATAAATAGGGTTTTCACAAAGTCCAGCACAGGGGAAAGAATACTCCTGCCCTGCAATCCAATCAGAAAAAGCTATCTTAGGGTGCCAAATTTTAAAATTCAGATCAAACCAGTGTGGAATATATACTCCTAATCCACAATCCAGGAAAAGAAGAAAAAAAAAAATACAATGAATGAGCTTTCGCATCTCAACAGTGACATGTTTTTCTTGAAATAATTTTCAGCCTTCAATTTTTTTAAAATCAGGCCTTATATTTGCAATCCAAATACTAAGTATATTATATCTGTGCAAGCACACGGCAGAAACATGACTGCTTATTTTGGGAAAGGAGAAAAATACTGCTTATCTGGTACTTCAGTGAAAGTGGAGTTTTTCAAGGTGGATGTACAACTGGAAAGTATTTCTTCATGTAATTTATTTTACCTTTCAATTGGAAAAGCAGCAGGAAAATTTTGAAATTAATTTTAAATGGTTTAAAATGAGAATGACTTCACAATTACAATGTTCACTATGTCTGTTTCCAAAGAGAGGTCTCCTAAATGTCCAGTTTTGCATACTATCCCAAAGCCTACCACAATACCTAAGTCTTGGAAGAAAACTGTATCATACTGGACACAAACTGGATGGATATCAACACTGTACGTCAGATTTTAACTATGGATAGAGTAAGTCTTCTTAAACATATACTGTGTCTCTACATGAACTTTACCATGCACATATATACTTCTAAGCAAACAAGGTATTTTAATTTAAATGGAGTGGGATGGTTTACTAGTATTGAGAGCAGTTCACCCAAAGAGTGACATAAAGTGAGAATCCAGATCAGCAGTAAGTCTCTGTAGGGTAGAAATGCTGTGACTGTTCCTAAAATAAAACATGGTAAGTTTTACTACTTACAGGTACTAAGCTGGGTGAGTTCCAGTAAAAATAAATAAATAAAAAAACAGGCAGATCCATGAAGCCGATGCATTCATATGAACAGTGAGAGATTAAAAATGAGTGTGCTAAATGGAACAAATAGTAACTCTGAGAAAAAAATACAGAATCCCTAAGCAGATGTGAAGGAAGGCCTTTGAAGCAGTTACTATAACTAAGTCTGAAACCAACAGGCTTATGCTATTGAAGGACAAGGGTAATTGAAGGAAACAGTGATGAAGCAGGGAATGAGACAGAAATAACCTCAACTGGGAAAAGATGATTCTATTATAGTGGTCTTTATCCAACAACACATTCCTTGTGCTTTTATTTAAGACTGTCATATATCTTTCTCAAACGACTTTCTCCAACTAATGAGCCCAAATCTACATTGGGAATTAAGGCTCCTAGCCACATATTACATTAACCCACACACACACACGGCATGTCGACAGCGCTCTGCTCACTCGTTCCTCTCACCTGTATGTATTCTCAAGTGGACCTTTAAGTGATGTGATGTTCTGAAAGTTTTTCCACAATATGGGCAGTCTTTCATGGCAGAACCAAGGCTCCTGTCTCTCAGTAAAGCTGGCTGCTGGACTCCTACAGATCTCCCAGCTTCTTCTCCAATGTCTGCAACACAGAAATGTTCTCACATCACTTCAGCACATGTCAGAAGTTGTTCTCGCTAAAACTGCTAACACAACACAAAGTTAAACATGTCAATACTACACCTGTCTATTTCATTCTTTAAATCTGACAGAATGCTGACAATTTCTGTATTTTCTTGTTATTGTCTTAAATTATTTCATCTTTCCTATCATCATTTTAAGCAGCATATGGTACCTTTATATTGAACTGAATTATACAAGAAAAGAAACAGCTGTGTCAGCAGCTGGTTTGATTTCTTCTTTTGCTTAGTTCCTATTAATTTAAAAAAAAAAAAAGTTTGAGATTGTTGTTTTGCTGAATCTATTTAATTTATAAGTATTGTGAAAATCTGTATGCTTTTAAGAGGAAAAAAGTTTGCATCAGTATATTAAAACAAGAGGTTTGCTGTGGCAGAGGTTCCAACAGTGGTGGAGATGACTACAAGGAAGCTAATCAACTTCCCTCTGCAACAGTTCAGCACTGGAGCTACAACACACAGCCTAGTGAGTGACCTAATATTATGGGAAAGGCAATGGAAAAATTGGTCAGATGAGGAGAATTCCTTCTCCCTCTCACACACAGCTCCTCAGTTTCCTCCTTCAGTGTTTACAGCTACACTTATTCTTTGCATTGTAATACAAGGGGTGAGACTCCAGAACATCTTTCTCTAGATATAAATAAACAATCATTCTCAGCTATCTTGCACAGGCTGCTATTATGCAAGCAGGCTAGGAACAAAATAACTTACAAAAGAATGACATAAAAATTGCAAAAAATGTAGGGCACTTTAAACAAGTCATTATTCAAACCATTATTCAAGACTCACTTGTACTTAGAGAAACACATAATATTACATACACGTATCAGTTCACAATTTCACCAAAAAGTACCATAGCAAATGTTGACATCCTGAACCAGATTTATACTCCTGGCATGCCTCAGAGGTGCCACAGACATGGGCACATCATCAGACCCCTGTGCAAAAGCTGAGCTGTATGGGTTCTCTTGAGGTGGAGAGCACATAGTGAAAATCTGCATGCAGAGGCTTGATTATTTCAACCATGAAATACTGACTAAAAACGTTCTGCCTTTACCCATTTGACAAGTAACTAAAGCTGTCAGGAAACATAGTGCAATTTACACAGCATTGCTTTTTAAATGGAAGTGATGGGACATGAGAAAGATTTAAACATTTTGGCTCAAACAAAAACTATTCACACAGTAGCACAGACCCAAATACCCACATCTCTGGAAAAGGTAACACTAACAGGCATTTCATTATTTATTATAAAATGGTCCCTCTAAACTATTTCAGTTAAAGCTGAAAGAAGGGCATAATGCAGTGATTTATACATATATATATATAAATCCTTTTCCTAGTCATGCATGTAATCAAGTTCTTGCTAATTTTTAAAAGGTAATTTCTGATACTTTTCACATCAAATTCTTGTTTAACCTTTTCTGATTGTTCTTAGACTGCAGAGTTGAAGCACAGTATTGAAGTTAGAAATCTAGTAACTGTCATTTTGAATTATTCACAAGTATGTAAAGTAACATACTGCAGAAGTTTATTTTGTCTTTATGAGTCCAGAAACACACATATAGGTTCTAGTTTATAATTCCAGGCTTCCTAAAGAGTTCAGATTTTCCTTTTATTTTTCTCCTCAAAAGTTGCATATAGTTATGTCTCAAGTTGCTTCAGGAAAAAAATAATTCCCGGGTGCAAAAAGATTTTTCTGAAGTGCAAAAACCAGACCGCATGATGATAAACTGCAGGATTTTATTTTGGTTTTCAATAAATACTATATCAGCATTATAGATAAATATATAGATAAAGCTAACAAGCCACTCAGGAGGAATTTACCGACTAAGCCTACTAGTTATGTTTTGCTATATGTCACTCTAAATGATGGCCTGTTATCCATTTGCCTTTTATCTTTCTATCTAGAATATGTGTGGCCCAATAAAAAAAGAATAAATTTGTAAGATAAACAGCTCACTTTGCAGATTTAAGAGTCTAATTTTCACTTTACACAAAATTGAATTTTTTCAAGGCAGTGAGACGATGGAGTTTACTCTAGCACTAATCCCTCTGAAAAAGCAAACTGAAAACAACAATGAAGCAAAGAAAGATGTGGGTGGTCTGAAGAGTTTTCTTTTAGATTTAAGTAGACATACAGTAGATAGCTCCAAAGGCTTTGCTCTAACAGGGGCCTTACCTTGAAGAATTTTTCTTCCCACAGTGTAAGCATTCCTAAGACTTTAAAGCTGGGCTGAGGGGTTTTCTTTTGAATTCCTCTGTCTACAAAGCCCACCGAAGTGCTGGAGGCCATCGCTACCTGAATGAGCTGCTTTACATCTAAGTTCTTTTATTTCGAACAATGAAAAGATACATTCAAGGCTGCCGACTCTCCTCCATCAAATGCCGCCCCAAGCTTCTTACCAGGGGCCCATTTTGGCAAAATTTACCTACTGTCAAGGCACTTAAGTTTAAAATGCACTTAAGTCTCACTGACTGCTACAACAGGAGCATTTATACTGAGCCTCTTAAATCAAAAGGGGGAAAAAAAGGGGGGGAAATGTGACACAGAAAAAGAACAGATAAGCAAGGAAAATGTTGATAAGCAAGCTGGTGTATAGAGACTTTGCCAACAGCAGTGTATGGGGGGAATGAAAAATCTTCAGCTCTACCAAACGCTGCTTATCCTAACACCACTAAAGTCCCCCTTCTCCTGTTACTGAGACCCCTTCCTAAGTAGAAACTGGTAGTTCTGTTTCTGTGCAAAACTGCAGTAATGTTTTATTGACCTGCAGAACTAGGATTAGCCCCAGCAAATTAATTTATGATTTACTCGGGATTTGAGCTATGGCTTTTGGGCTGCTCAATTCCGAGGATAAAAGATCAGGAAGGAAGGAGAGAAGTTACTTATCTGACAGCCATTGTGGTTCACTGAGTTATGTGGTCTACATGATACGCAGTACATGCATGTGAGATTAGACTGCTTTTTCTTACTACCTAGTTCCATTATAGGCAGGTCTGCATCTTGAATGTCTTCCTGCCCATCCCTATCTTTCCTGATTTGAGTGCAGGAAATAATAGTACACAGTATAAAATATTGTATAGATGCATACACTAGATGTTAGGCTTCCAAGCTTTGTCTCTGAATTTACTTTAGCAGAGCTTTCCTGTCACATTCTCATGGGACAAATGCAAGTAAACAAAGTTCACTTGAACATCCATATCAGAAGGTGGTGATTAGCTGCATAACCAAAGAGCCAATTTGGCCAAATGTGAGCAAATATATTCACCACATAGACTGAAATGGAAATTAAGCAATCCATAAGATCAGTATTTGAAGGCCTAGCCCTTCTTCAGACAGATGCTTGCTTCTCAGGAGAGGAGGCACAAAAAGCCAGAAATGACACTAAAGTAGCTGGAAAGGAAATTTCCACAGAACCAGATAATCCAAATAAACAATTTTGAGCCAGCAGCAGTTTAAAAGAGAGAAGCACACCAGTGAATCCTTATTTACATCAGGTATCTTACTATGTATCTGAAATGGTCTACCCAGAAATGAGCTACTGCCGTGGCTAGCAGTGCCCTTGACACACAGATGAAGAAGCTACAGAGGCACAATGCCTCTCAAGAAAAGAGAAGACAAACTTAGGTGGATAGTGAATCTGTGTACTCTAAGCAAAAGGTACCTAGCCAACCATAAGAAGAGCAAAAGAAAAAGAATTATTTGAAAATTCCATAGATGTTCTATACCACTGGTCTACCTGTCTGGGATGAGTCTAGTGAACGATTAGAAAAAAAAACATTCTAAAAAGAAACCTGTTTTCAGTTGTTTAGGTAGCAGCACTGACTTCAGTCATGTTAGCAGCCAAACTTTCAAAGGAGCATCTACATGCATGTCCCATAAATTTTATCAGAGTATTTATTTGCTGCGTGTATGTGAAAGTGCAGCAATTCACAAAGAGGTACTTTCATGTTCAAAGGAGCTAAATTGCAGTCCTCGTGCAGACTAAATTATCGATGCTGTCAGTTGGAATTCGTTGACACAAGGATTGCCAAATTAGCCAAAACCAGGCAGTCACATGGAAAAGGTAATCAACTCACAGAATAGGTAATCACACTGTGATGTGTTTGCGCTTGCACATTTTTCAGACATTTTTAAAGAAGCCTTTGAAAATATGGTCGTAAGCCTGTAAAGCTGCACATAATCCCAGGTTTTCATATATTTCTGAAATTCAAAATATTTGTAGTTCTTTAGAACTGCCTGTAATTGCTAAACAAAACATAAAAAACGAGAAGTGGTAGTGACCACATTTACTTTTTTATGATCTATAAACCACCCTGATTAGCCCATTTTCTGGCAGGAAAAATTATATCCTGAATCTAATCTCAAGAATGGTGTTAGAGGATATTCAATGTGTTAATTCTGTCACTGCTGCCACCTTTATGCAAGTATGCCTGGACTTGACCACCTCATTCCCTGGGAAGCAGTACATGATATGCAAAGTTTCTGGGAAAACATGCTTTACTTTTCTTGCCTGTTCCTTAGAAAAAGCTTTAACAATACTGAAAATAGCAGAAAATAGGAGTATAATTAGGGATATAATTAACCCTATTTTTCTAGCTACCTGAAGGAGCTTCAATTACTATGCTTCGATGTAAATGAGAACAGAATCCAGCCCAGTGCTCATAATTTGAAATTAGAATCCTATTAGCAGATGTCACTACACTTTTTTGCTAGTGAAGTTCATGGCTTCAAATGAAAGAGACTAATATTACTAAATATTACAGTTATATTTTAGGCCTCCGGAAAGAGTTACTAATGTCTTAGGTCAGGAGCAACTTGCTGTCTCTATTGTTCCATCAAGGATTTAGGCTTTATAATGGCCATATATGGGAATCTTACACTGTTACTATGGATTGGCAGGGAATTTGTTTAAACAGAGAGCTATTTTAGAAGAGAATT